AGTAGCAAAGGGTTACAAACAGCAGTATGGAGTTGATTACAGGGAAGTGTTTGCTCCAGTAGCCAAGCATGACACCATTCGTCCTACAGTCTCATTGGCTGCACAAAATTCTTGGCCTATTTTTCAAATAGACGTGAAATCAACCTTCTTGAACGTGGATCTACAGGAACAAGTTTATGTTGATCAGCCTTCTGGACATGTGCAACAAGGAAGTGAGGAGTAAGTTTAAAAATTGAAGAAGGCTTTGTACGAACTGAAACAAGCGTCTAAAGCTTGGTACAGTTGTATAGATGCCTATTTCTCTAAAGTAGGATTCCATAAATGTCCACATGAGCATACTTTGTTTGTCAAGTCTGAGGATGGAGGTAAAATTTTAATTATATGTTTATATGTAGATGATCTTATCTGCACAAGGAATGATGGCACAATGTTTCAAGAGTTCAAAAATTCCATGAAGGTTGAATTTGAGATGACTGAATTGGGAATGATGCATTATTTTCTTGGAATTGAAGTGGTGCACTCATCAACAGGAATTTTCATTACACAAAAATAAGTATGCAAAAGAAATTTTGGAAAGGTTTAATTATCAAAATTGCAATCCAGTCAAAAATCCAATTGAACCAGGTTTGAAGTTGCATAAAGATCTTGGTGGCTAGAGAATGGATAGCACCTACTACAAATACTACAAATAGATGGTTAGAAGCTTGATGTACTTAACAACCACTAGGCCGGATGTCATATGTGCAATAAGTCTCCTAAGCAGGTACATGGAATTTCCAACAAATCTTCATTTTCAAGCTGCAAAAAGGGTGTTTCGCTATCTACAAGGCACAACTGATTTTGGAGTCTTTTATAAGAAATGAGAAGTTTCAAGATTTATTGGATTCACTGATAGTGATTATGCGGGTGACTTAGATGATATAAGAAGTACTTATGGTAGTGTTTTTATGATGAGTTCAGGAGTTGTGTCATGGTCATCAAGAAAGCAGCAGCTGGTTACTTTGTCCACAACTGAAGCAAAGTTTATAGCTACAGCAACATCTACATGTCAAGCTATATGGTTGAGAAGAATTCTTGAAGAGTTACACTTTCAGCAACATGAACCTACAGTAATCTATTTTGACAACAATTCGGCAATCAAGCTCTCTAAAAATCTAGTTCTACATGGAAGAAGCAAACACATAGATGTGAGATACCACTTCCTTCATGATCTTACAAATGAAGGGACCATTGGTTTAGTTTATTATCAAAGTGAAGATCAGGATGCAGATATCATGACCAAGCCACTCAAGTTGGATGCATTTGAAAAGCTGCATGGTTTGCTTGGAATGTGTTCATTTAAACATCTTGAGCAAGCAAGGTTGGCAACCTTGGCAGGTTTTGTGATGGTAGAAGCTGACAAGCTTGATGATGAAGCTTTTATGATGGTGTCTAAACCCTAAACTATTTTCATAGAAATCAGTTTAAGGAAGGGTGTTAAGTTTTTTAGTTGTTTTTTATTTTAAATAAATTCTTATTTATTAGGAAGTCAGTTGTTTTTACCCATTCTTTAGGAGAATCCCAGTTGATTAGGAGATTATTAGTCATGGGATAGTCGTTGCTATTTTTTCTGCAATTTGGTTATTTATAATTCTATTTAAGTCAAACTCATTTCAATGAATAGTATGCAATTTTTCACATAATTTCCTTCGTCACATGTTGAGCAAAGCTTTCCATAGCTTTCAGTTTTTAACAGACATCTCTTCCACCTCAAAAATAAAAATGGAGAATGAGTTTGCATTAACCACTTACTAGTTATTATCATATTATAAAGAAATATAATAATCAAAAGATAACAAATAAATGCATGTGTTTATGTGTTTATGCAGAAAACTTTAATGCTTTGGCCAATTATATTTAGAAAATAATAATAATAATTAAAACCTACAAATAATATTGGAGGTACCAAACTAATTGCGCTATAGCTAGCTAGTAAAAAGAAGATGATGACAATGCAGGCGTCTGATGAAATATAATATTGCAAATTGATATATAAAAATTAAGGTCTGTTTTTGGTGCCCATAGCTAGGATAAGTAGGATTGGATAATTCAATGAATTCAATATACGTTATCAACGTCACTTATTGCTACGGTCCAGTAGTATTCCTCTTCATTTGTAAGTGAGATGTGTTAGGTTCGATTCTTGCCAAAGACGAATTTGAACCACATTATTTGCTAGCCCATTGTAAGACTTAATCAATTCCCTCACTCCCTTAGTATAAACAATATCGTTTGTTCAAAAAGAAAAAAAAATAGAAGTTATCAACACCTTTTTTACTTATCTCTTCCAGCCCTAAAATGAAAAATCTTTTGTCTCTACTTTCATTTCTTACTTCAATATAAATATTCCAATCCAATCTTCATGACCACGTACAAAAAATTTTAAGTTATCCAATCCAATCCCCGCAACCAATAGTACCAAAATGAGAAGAGAAGTTATCAACACCTTCTTACTTCTCTCTCCTAACTCCACATTGACGAATCTTTCGTCTCCGCCTTCATTTCTTACTTCACAATAAGTATTCTAATCCAATCGTCCTGACCAGGTACAAAAAAAATTAAGTTATCCAATCTAATCCCTGCGACCAGGTACCAAATGGAACCTAACATTCTTAGTGTATATAATGTGAAAGATCGAGTCCACAGTCGGCCGCGCTTCCAGATGCATATACAGATGTGGAGGACAGCGTGAACACACTACAAGATTAAGTAAGTGAGTGAGTGTGTGAGTGAGTGAGTGACATTATAGTAGATTGAGTGGGTGCATCATAAATTTAATCGAGCATGTGGGTGCCCACATAATCCCCTTTCTTCTTAATTTGCATGTGCTTTCGTTCACGCTCTCCCTTAGTGGACGCGGTTTTGAAACCCCATCTCGTTCGACGTTCCTATAAATACCCTCCTTCCCCTGCGTTCTAAGCATAAGCTTGTAGGATTCGATCGAGTGGCAGTCACCTCTCAGTCCCAGTCATGGCTCCTCCTCAAAAGATTGCTAGCGTTGCTTTCCTTGTGATGTTAAGTTTGGGAATTTGTTCTGCCACGAGAGCTCTTTTCACTACTGAAGAATTTGGAGCCCACACCCTGTCTACTACTGATGCTGTAGGAGGGGGATATGGTGGCGGTAGTGGAGAAGGGGGTGGTGCTGGCTACGGAACTTCTGGTGGGGGAGGACACGGCGGTGGAGGTGGTGGCGGTAGTGGTGGTGGCGGTGGTGCTGCGGCTGGAGGTGCAGGGTTTGGAGGTGGGGCTGGTGAAGGAGGAGGTGCAGGGTATGGTGCTGGAGGAGAACATGGGGCTGGATATGGTGGAGGTGGCGGTGGTGGTAGCGGTGGTGGTGGTGGAGGAGGTGTAGGTTCTGGAGTAGGGGGTGGTGAAGGAGGTGGTTCTGGAGGTGGTTATGGTGCTGGAGGAGGAGCAGCAGCAGGTGGTGGCCATGGAGGAGGTGGAGGTGGTGGTAGTGGTGGTGGTGGAGGTGGTGGCGCAGGTGGTGCTGGATATGGAAAAGGTGGAGGGGCTGGTAGCGGAGCTGGTGGAGGCTATGGTGGTGCTGGTGCTGGTGCTGGTGCTGGTGGCGGTGGCGGTGGTGGCTCTGGCGGTGGTGGAGGTGGTGGAGGTGCACATGGCAGTGGGGCGGCTGGCTATGGAGGTGGTGCAGGGAGTGGTGAAGGTGGTGGTCATGGTGGCTATGCACCTTGAAAACACCTTTGTTACTGCTTCAGTCACTATGGATCAAACCTCTTTTTGCCAAAAATATTATGAAAAATAAATTTCCCGGGTTAAGAAGATGGTTATTATTAAACTACTGTAAAAATGCCAAAGGCATGCTATTCGAGTGTGTATCAAATGGAACAGATCGACTTCTGTAGAGGATCAAATTGATAATCGACCAGGAATATTGATCTTCCATATTATTTTTACTATCTATATTGTGGTTAAAATTTCAATTTAATCCTTGTTAATAAAGATCTCTAGTATTTATGTTTGGTTGATGAATCAAAAACAAAATTCATGCATGCAAATGAAGAATCCGACTAACGAATCTTTAAAGCCTGATTCATGTCAAAATAAAAGAAGAGAGATGAGGAAAGAAATCGGTCTTTACATCTTGAAGCGCTATTTTGTTTTCACAAACTTATCACTCTAGTGAATGACCTTCAATCTTCTTTATGAATCTCTTAAGAAAAAGGAATTCATGCCGACGCATGTGAGCCAACATTCTCTGATAACATAAGGAAGTTGAGGTTTCATCATAAAATTAATTGACATTAAGAAATAGAAGCTCAAAGTTATTTAAACTATACAGAAGATTTTTTTTTCCCAATGAGGGACAACTCTTAAGTCTCTAAACAAAATGTACATAGAGTACACAGTGGAAACCAAAAACCTAAAAATTAAACGGAAAACTAATGAAAATGACTTGAAAACTTTAAGTTTTAAAGATAAGGTCAAAATAAATGGTAAAGTAAATAGTACCATGATTGACTTTTTAGTGTAAAAATGTGGTTTTTAATTAAAGTGAACAGTACCGAGAGTTTTTCGTTAAAGTTCCCAAAATTAAAAGCAATTTTTCATTTCTAATTTTTGTTTCCTACTTTCTCTTCATGTCTTTCCACTCCCTTCCTCATCTCCTCATCCACCGGTCTTTATTTTTCCTCCTTCCTCCTCCTTGTACATTTATCTTATTAAGAAGTAAAAAATAAAAAGCAAAATGATTATCCAACAAGCCAAAATTCATTTTCATGCGAATTCTAGATTACGACCATGATACTTTAAAGCTTTCACAGATACATGATAATAGAGATAACACTTTGTTTTTCTGTTGACCTTTTGTTCATCCCCGTTTTGTCAATGAGTTTGCTTTGCGTAAAAATTCGATTTTGTTTTCTTCTTTTTGTTTCAATAGAAACTTATCCCAAACCTAGAAGATTAGCATGTATACATGATATCCAACAAGAAGCATATATATATAGCAAATTCTTATTCCACCAGAAAAATATATTGGCAAAGTACATTTTCCAAACAAAAGGTGATTAATTTGATGGCTTGACTCTCAAGTGGATACAAAGTAAATAAAAAAAAAACCATGGCCAAGTTATTAGTTATTGCATCTCTATCCTCTATTAGTTTCTGCCTGCCTAGGTGATCATTTCAGGTCCTTCCCATCTTGATCCATTTCCTCAGGGTCTTGATCTTGTGCTTGTTTCTTAAGAATTCCCTTTAAGTGGTCGGATATCGGGATGTGCAGAGTAGGAGCACTGTCCATAGTTTCTATCATCGACCGGCCTCTAATCATGTCAACCTCCCCATCTTCATTCATCATTACCATATTACATGGAAGTTTTCCAGCGTAAAATTTTCTGTCATTTTTCTGGTGCCTGCATTTGTAGACATCCTATTAAAATGTCACACGGACCAGCATAATTTTGTGAGGGTATACAACTATGCATCAATTGTTTAGTATGCCAGTATATCTAGACTTAAAGGCTGATTATTTTGAAATGCTAATAACAAGTATTTGCGGAATAACTTGCTAAAGAAATATAAACAAAATCCGAGATCTTTGATTTTAATGCTTGCTTATATACCTGTCGAAAACCACCCATGTCGCATGAAGGGTTGCAATTTGCTCAACAACCAGCGAGCGTGAGGGATAACCCATTATAACTTTCTTCTGTGGAAAAACCTGCATGAACATGCGATACACAAGCAATTATATGTATACGGAGACTCAGTATGATACAACATGATAGCACCGTATGTTCGTATAGGCTTGATTGTTATACGTACCCCATATTTGCTGCAAAGGTTTACGACTTTCTGAAGCTTTAGATATTTGATGTCACTCCTCGACTCATTTTTCTCTTTGAAAAATGATAATTCTTCTAATCCCACCGGCCAAACATCCAGCCATGTCTTGGAAGAGACTGCAGATTTCCACCACCCAAGTATTCCATCTCACACAAGAGGCAAAATCTAGTTTACGTATAGCTAGCTATATAGTTCCATATGATAATCAACTGTTAATTTAATTAACACATCAACTGACGGTATGCATGTCTAATTAATTAAAATGCGATCCTGACTGATCCCTCTATCATAACTAGGAAATATTCTCTCCTCCAAATGAAAAGGCACACATGCACTTAATTAGCTAGAAATTGCGTTAAAAACTTGTATGCATTTAGAGCTAATTTGCGCACAATAAACTCAGGCATGCTAGCAAGCTAATATATATGTATATATATACTCACGGGGAATGTTAAGCCATGGCATGACACCAAGAAGAGTGACAGTAGAACCGGCGTTGATTACAATATTCTCGAGCACCCATTCAAGCGGCTCTGTTGTGAACTCTTTCATGCCATCCATCACGATGAGTACATGTTTCGGAGTGTTCATCGACTCCGAGGACTCCTTCATAATGTCTTTCTCCATTGCTTTCCTGTTCCGGCTGAGAATAGATTTGCCCATTAATTTCTGCTTCTTACCTCCTTTTTCGAAGAAAACAACCAAATTATATACACAAATCACCTGCTAATTACTTTGGAAACTTTACGAAGCCAAGCGTGTTGTGCAAATGCTCAGCCCGGAGAAAGAGATGGAGTACCCAAAAGGGAATAGATACAGGAACTTCATATTCCTTAAATAGTTAATCAAACTTTGTTTTCAAGGAAAAAACCAAACCTAAGGGCTTGGTAAAACCAGAACTATGTAAGCAAACTTTGTTTTCAAGGGAAAAACCAAAATTAAGGGCTTTAAAACCAAGGAATGGGCATAGTTATGGTACGTATTTTGACATAAACAAAGATTTGTGGCAATCTCCATTCATGACAAAGGATTATAGTATTATCCAATTTCAAGTTTTGATTTTCCCTAAGATTTATCAAGATGCTCATTCCTAAATCTTATCTGCAACCTCTATTAATTCTAAATTAAGGCGTCCACGGCCATATTATTTAGCTATTAACAAGAAAGAAAGTTGTAAGCTCACCGGCAAACTCATTGTCCTTAAACATGTCCATATAATTTATTGTGGTGAAGCTATATAATTTGTGAAGTGATTATGTTTTTTGTTTTTTTTTTTTTTTTTTTTTTTTGGATATTCAATTTTTATAAATAAAAATTAAAAAAAAAGAAGATAAACTATTTATTGAACGAAATCAAAGATGAACATCAACACCCGCCTCAGCGGCTAATACACTGAACAACCATTTTTGTTGTAAATGTGTTGGTATTTATGGATCATCTGCCAAATTTTCTCCTTACAAGACTATACTAGTCTTCTAATCCTAGCCGTCCATATAAACCCAGCGATTGTGATTATGCCATGTCGTTCAAATTAGTTTTATCTTTGACGTTCCCGTAATCTCCTAATCGAGTGTACTTTACAATATTTTGCACCTGGAATACAATGCACCCTTTAAACTAGTGTCTTCAGCATGTCTACTTTCTAATTTGTGACACTTGTGCTTCAACTTAACACCAATTTAACATTGTTTTAAAAATTAAAAATTAAAAAAAAATAAAGGGGGACAACCGGTGGCAAGCCACTGTTATCCACCCCTTCCGGGGGTCAAGAAGACTCACAGAGACATTTCAGCCTCCCCTAGGACAAGTCTAGCTTCCACACCAGCAGCAGGTTTCGAATCCAAGACCTCTAGTTTTTAGTTTGAAGGAGGCCTCGAAATCCACCATTTACCTCTAGACCATCAGCTTGTGATTACCAATTTAACATTGTTAACATTTTCATAAAAAAAATTAAAAAATAAAAAATAAATAAAAACTAAAATGAAAACTAATAGCATCTCGCGGCCAATAATTGAAATCATCTAACCCATATCTCCGCAGCCATAACAAGCAATGTTGTTGCAAAAAGCCTTATCTGATCAATCTAGATTTTGGAATTGAGGATAGCCGCAATTCATTTTTTCTTCGTTCTTTTTGGAATTTGATGATAGCCACAATTCATTTTTTCTACGTTCTTTTTGGAATTTGATGATAGCCACAATTCATTTTTTCTGGGTTGTTTTCTGGAGTGAGGATAGCCACAATTCATATTTTTTTTCTCGGTTTTTTCTGGAATATGACGATAGCCACAATTCATTTGTATGGGTTTCTAGGTTCTTTCTAGAATTTAAGGATAGCCACAGTTCCTAAAAAACCAAAGAAAGCCCAAGATTTCAATTCCTTCAAAAGTATTGTGTGTTGATTTGGATTTCGTAGTTGATTTTGTGTGCTCCCAGACTCGGATGTAGTAACAAAAATTGCAAGGAAATGGCCGCCGACGAGGTTGTGTGTGGTTTGGTGGGTGGCTATCGAGTAGGTGGAGACTTTGTGGCTCCATTTGTTTTTCTTTAATTTTTATTTATTTGTTATATTCGTCTTTAGAAAAGATGACACTGCTAAATTAAAAGTTAAGTTCATAAACAACTATCAAAATATTAGAAAAAAAAGACACAAATAAAACACTGAATCAGGGACAACAAACCCGCAACCCCTTGAGCTACACTCAAAAGACTTACCTTCTGCTTCTTTTGTTATCAAACATGACCACATGTAGAAAGTTGCGGTAGTTTGAAAGTAATAAGAAGATAATTTTGCAGCCGAAGCGTTGGCTTCTGTAAGGCATTCCTCGGATCCTTCTTTACAATTGTTGTCTAACTGGAGAAAGCTTTGAAGGCAAATGATCGATCCAAGCAACTCTGCAACGTAAAAACTGACACTCAGCGTAATGCAGCTGCCACAGGACGCATAGTGTGGTTGTTTTTAAGGCTGCCACCAGCACGGCTGACCTTTTTGCACGGCGAAGATCCCGCTCTCTTCCTTTTCTTGTCCAATGAACTTCCATTCTGAGGTCCTACCATGGCCGCTAGTAGTTGGCTTGCCCTGCCCTTATTCAGACTTTTCTTTGAAAGATATCTGACAGCTTCAGTTCTCTCTGCATCTTCTACAACATTGTTTGACGCTCTTTTACACAACGCATTGTCTGCTGACTTCAAGATCCTTTCGAATAGCATTGTTCAATGATCTTTTACAGGTCACATTGTCCGCTGACTTCACATGATCGCGTGGAAGATGAAAACTTGGTTCTGAAAAATTTCCATTCACACTCATTTAGTTGGTTGCATTTATAAAATTCATAAAAAAGCCAATAAATTTTTCTGATCAGATTGAATTTGCTTACCTCGAGACTCAAAAACCAAATCCAGGCTTGGAGATCTGGGTGGCGTCATAGGTTGGAGAATAACTTTAGCAGACCTTTTGTGGCAGCTATTTGCAACAGGAGTTGATGTACTACATATATTCTCAGTGTTGCCCAACGTTTTATCAAAATTGTTTCTTCCCCCACCTGGAGTTGAAGCATCAATGGCAGCACCAGTATCTGTAGTCTCCTGGGAACAACCAGCATCACGCTTAGGCCCATTAATCCATTCAGAAAGTTCACTAGCTTCACCTCTAGTGTCAGAGACATCAACCTCTTTAGGTCTCACTTGATGCAACGAAAGAGTAACCGTCTCACAAGCATCTCTGGGTTCATTGGCAGCACAACGATCAACATAATTCACACTCGGGGATAAATTATTGGTGCTCTCAACATTCTCTAGAACTGACTTAGGTGATGTACTCATAACAGCTGGATCCAAGCATGGCTTTAGTGCTTCCACTACACTCAAAAACCATGGAGTACCCTTCCTTGCATAGAACAGAATGTATGCCTCCTGTGATAGAACAAATTCCTCTCGTACCCTAGTGACCTGTAAAGAGAAAATAGAATGGACCTTTTAATGTTTATTTTTGTTTTCTTTTGGTCTAACGAAAAAAATTACCACAAGAAATAAGTCCTTTAAACGAGAAAATGAATATTTAAAACGGTTGAGGGTAAAATAATCCAACTATACTACCACAGATCATCAAATTTCATCTATGTGGGAGGGAAGACCTCAAGGGAAATTATGCCAAAAGAGGCGCAATGAACCTTAAAAAAGATTACCACGTATAAACATACAGCAAGAACAAAGGTCAGAAGTTCCTAACAGATTATAGCAAAACCAACACAAGGTTCAGGCCAAAAAATCATTAATACGAAAACAAATGAGACATGAATGGCAACCCAACCACTTCCACACACACACACACCAGATTCACAAGAATTATAAAGCCGCGGAGGTAAAACAGTTACCGTGAATACTACAGAATTTACACAGGAAATATTTACCCTTGAGTCATCCAACCTATGCCATGTATCTGGAGAGGACCGAATGAAGCAAAAGTAATGCCCAGAAGTAGATGAGAACCCAACATGCTCCACAATTGCATAAAGTTCGTACTTCAATTCCATCTATTGCAAAGAAACAGGGAATTAGAATTTGAGAACAACATCCATTTTTTCATTTTGGTACATTAAAAGAGATTGAAACCCTTGATGTACCCTAATCCTAACCCATTACCCCTACCTTTCCAACCAAACGAGCCCACCCAAAGGGCTTGAGAGACCACACACAATTAAACATACCTAACTGGTGACATAACATTCAGCAGACCTTTTTTGTAAGATCATCTGGTCATTATCATGTATTAGCAAACCCTACATTTCTCATAACTGATCTCAAGTTGGCTAATGAGCTAATCAGCAGTATTGTAAATAAACTAATAAACAACAACTCACATCGATGTCACTGCCACCGGTGTAGGGCTTCAAGTCCAACTCCAGAGGAAATTCTACATGTTTTTCAATCTTCTGAACATTAGATCCGTCAGTCTTAAATCTCTTCAGGTGAAATGCAGCAACTTGAGGGGCCTGGTCAACCACGAGCTGCTTCTCCACTGACACTTTTTCCTTGCACTTCTCACATGTAAACTTTGTCTCCGAGTCATTGATATTTTCTATCTTAGTGAAGGACTCCAAAGCCCTTGGAAGAGTGTCTGCTTCTTCAATCTCCAGACTCAGATCAATCAGAGGTTCATATGTGTCAGAACAATGACCGCAATTGCAACATCGGAGCTGAAAGCAATTCATACATATAAAAATCAACAAATATATATTAAAGATTAATTTTCCAGGTTTCCCATCAAATTTTAACCATAACAGGAAGAACAATGGCAGCCAGATCTAGTCGTACTTTGCTTACGAGACGACCACCAAAAACCTTTTCCACAAGGTTTTTGTCTTGCACAGATGAACTCTCGTCCTTTTTCATAGAACCCATAGAAGATCTCTCAAGTTTATCTAAAAAACATTGCAAGAACTCATGGGCATCTTCTTGCTGGTATCTTTGGAAGTAAGATGAGATGTCTAGTAGCATGGGGGTTAAGAATCACATTCCAATGTAAAATTCTCGGCGAAAACTCATTTTCAAATCAACAGTAATATGACAAACTATACAAAAATTGGTGCAATGAAAAATCAAAATATTACAAATAAAAAGCCAAAGTTGTTTTTGCACATAAATATAAATTCATATGAATGAAAGGATACGATTCAAATTGTCGACAAGTTTCCATGGCGAAACAACTCTTCCTGAAGAAGCTATTGAAAGATCAATGTGGTCACGAAGAGCACAAAGAACGCAGAATCTTTCACTACCACCTAAATACTCCCAATTTCAGATTTAAATCAGTAAAATTGAATAAGAAATCTTCATAAACCAACTAGCTTCACAATGCTTCCAACAATTGAGATAAATTAATAAATGATAATATGACAAAACTACAAATAGAAACTAAGGTCTTACGATCACATGGCATCGAATGATTGGAAGAACGAAGACCCTCCAAGAGCGGCACAGTGTGCGTAAAGCATTGCAGAATCGCATTCATAAAGCAAGTGTTACCTAGATTTGCAAGCCCTGCACTCTGCAACACCAAAACCACAACAAATCTCAACATCCCAAGATTACTCAAATCAAAATTAAAAACCAAAAATAAAATAACGAAAGAAGCATTAAAAATAATAACATACCACCATAGAGGGCTTGGTTTCTTCCTTATGAAACTGTGATTCAAAGGAAATCGGCGATCCCTTGGCAGAAGACCATGAATTCCACGGAGAACACCAAGAAGAAGA